GTTGGGTGCCATAGGGGACTTGGATTCCCTCTGGAGTCTATGCAGTTGCCAAGGGTGTTAATTATAAATAACTAACCTAAGATTAAATTACATTTCAGAGGAAAACCAAACTTGAAAAATTATTCCTGGCATTAGTCTCCGAAGCTGCAGATGAATTAGACCCTGAAGCAAGCAAACAAACAAATAATATAACTGGGTCTCTGAGAGGAAACAAAAGGAAAGTACTGAGAAAATGGGACAAAGGCTAGAGAAAACCCGCCTGGTCTCAAAGGATGAGTGAGCTACAGAGACATCTAAGTGGCAGAGGGTGGTGTAAATTAGGAACTAAAGATTTCAAGTATTCAAGAAAGATGGTATCAAACAGAAAGGCAAAAATTAACAAGCTAAAAGAACATTAAGCTGTCTTCATCTTCAGCACAGCCCCAAAGGGAGGAAAAAAGAGTTTTCATACTTGATTTATAAGAAATTAATACAAATCACAGTCTACACCTCCTAAACTTGGTACGGATCATATATTAAACACACACAACTCCAGTTCTATAAGCCGCAAATGAACCCGCCAAATATCAGTTTAGTTAAGTTTGATAAAATCTTACAAAAAATGGCAGGCTTTCAGACCTGTGGGCTCTCTTTGCTTTGAAGAAGTATTACCAAGAACAGGTTCCAAGTAAAGACAAGTGGCTCTATAAAATATCACCCAATGGGAAGGCAGCAGGGCAGAAAGGTCAGGAAGGAACTAAACGCTTAGCTTAGCAAGAGTAACTGCTCGCACAGTCCACACACGCAGTCACCTGACAAAAGGCTCTGTGGATTTTGTTCACAGTTTTCTGTTAAACCTCAGTTACAAAGTTGAAATTAATCAGGCCTTCTTAAAGATAAGCTAGTATTTGTCAAGAAAGCAACTCCTCATCACCCGGCTATCATTTGGCCCCTCTTGCTCATGCTAATTAAAGTCCCCGTTATTTGGAACAAAAAAGCCCACCCTAAGAAATAAAGATGCCTGAGAATCAGAAGTGAATAATGGGTCTCCTATAATTCTAAGATAATACAAATGTCATAAGCCAGGCAGTGAAGTATAATGAAGATAACTAAAAATAGATAATTTTAATACCTTGTAATTAACAGTCCTAAGGTTAATTGAAGAAAACAGGATATAAATTTACATATAAAATATGACTTCACATTCATAACATTATAAATATAACTGAAAGACAATACATCTAAATATTAATAGTAGTTATAATATTATCAAGAAGGGATAGGTTTTTTATTTTCTTATACTTTGTAACACACTTAGAATACAAATTTGTGTACATTGTATACATAATCAAAAAAGTTGTGTGTCTGTTTCTTTAAAAGGTCATTTTACAAAATGTAGAAAATACCAAAGGGAAAATAATTTCTAATATTCCCCACCTCTTCCCAGACTTGGAATCATCATCCACAGTTAGTGAAGCAGATACCAGGGGTGTCATCCTGGGTTCTTTCTTCTTCCTTACTCCTCACATCCAAGCGGTTACCAAGTCTGTCTCACAACCTTAACCACCCTTCCATTCCATCCTCACTGCCACCATCCTCACACCAGCCCCTATAATGGCCTCACTGCAACAGTCTTCAGAACTGCTCCCACCCCACGATGAAGCTCTCTGGCCTGCAGTTCCTTCTCCATTTCCTTCTCCATCTACACTCCATCTCAGAGTGCTTCTCACCCTTCCACTAGTTGGTTCTATCTACTTTTGACATGAGGAAAGTATCTAAGATCCAAGGCAACAACGGGCAGTTGCTGAAGATCAAGACACAGTAAGTAATCCCAAGAGGAAGATGAAAAGAGACCTCTCTCGTGACATAAAGGTTAGGGAGGCAAGGTGAGCTGATTTGTTCTGCTCTTTTGACGTTCCCCAAAGAGGCAGAAACTGGGAGAAGACTATGTAGTGCTGCTCTGAGGGAAGATACTTCTGGTGCTCTATACCAGTCTTACCCAATGAACACCTCTGAGACACACCACTGGGCAGTTCGAGGATAACAAACCCTCTGAAACCACTGCCTGACAGATGAGACTTCTCTCAAATTATCCCAGAACCCACAAGAGGAGGCCTGGCACAGGCAACGCAGGCACTATCATCCATCCTGCAGAGTGCTACAGCCTGCTCTTGTTGATTCTGGATTAGATCCTATCTAATCCATTCGTCCTGCAGCAGCCAAAATAACCTTTCCAAAATGCACCCTCCTGCCTATGACTCTCCTTCACTCTCCTGCCTATGACTCTGCCAGGACTCCCTGTCCTACATGCCCACACCTGAGTCATGAGACCCTTCCTGATCTGGCTCTTAAACCCCAGAGCCCATGCTCAGCCACGTGAGTTACTTTCTCCCTGGGCTCTGCACACACTGTTCCCTCTACTGTCCAGATCCTTTTCCCATTCTGCACGCCGCCCCACCCCGCCATCCAGTCTACATAACCATGCTCAGGCCCCTCCTTGGAAGTCACTCTCTCTGGGAAGCTTTCTCTGAGCACCCGTCACACTTCCCACCAGCTCCCAGCCACACTGGGTGCAAGGTCTCCCCCGCTCCGTGCTCTCAAAGTTCCCTTCCCTACTCCTGTCATAGCATTCACCACACTGAACTGAAATCGCCTGCTTTCTTGTTTTATTCCCTAATGGTAACTCCTCGGGGCAAGGGGTAGTGCCCTAAACACTTATATTTCCAGCATACAGCACAATGCCTGACATACAGTTGACACAATCTGTAATACTTATTCAACAAACGAATACAAAAAAAGATGGATGAACTGATAGGAATATGGCAGCAGCATCTGTGAGAGTCTGGAACAAGGGCTGGAAAAGGAACAAATGGTAACTTAGGAAAACTGAAATGATTCCTGCTTGAATGGCCTTCATTTCACCGTCAATCAAAAGAAATACCTCAAAGCACTTTCAACAACATATCAGTTTCCTGACACCACAGAAAGTCAACAGCAAGCAGAACCCACTGTTTTGGAAATAACACATATAGTTGAGCTATTTCAAAAGAACCATCATAAACAGGAAGAATTTTTGTAACTGGAGGCTGACAGTGGTTATGGAGAGTTCACCTCCCTCAAGCTCTGATCTTCAAGGCCCCTCACCTGACTCTCTTCTCCAATCTCAGATAAGGGAGATGTTTACTGATTATAAAGTAATCCAATGCCAACTGTACACTATGTATTTTTCTGTTTAGGGGATTACATTTCTGTTTCTTTCCTGTTATAAACTAAATGGCAAAGGTGGTGAAGCTTCTGGCTATATAAAAGAAGAATTCTTTAAGGAGTAAAAAAAGACTAGATTGTAAACTACATGTCATACGGATCACGTCGATCTAAAATGGTTTCTTTCATGTGTAGCTTAAAAGAAACAAACTATAGTGAGATGACTGGAAGAGAGTATCAGACTTCCATTTTAGAATCAGACCTCTTGATCACTAATAGCTAAAAGTTTAAGATTCTGAAACACTGGAAACAAAAAACAAATGTAAATCTGAAGAATAAATACTAATTTCTAATGTCTATTTTAACAATGGCATTAAATAGTTACCCATAAAACATTCCCATAAAAGAAAGCATTACTTTACTGGCTCCAGGACTCAACCTGTGAGTGAGTCCACTGTGTATAATTTACATAGCCACATGTAGACCCAAAGTCCCTCAATACACCCAGTTTAAAAACAAAAGTATCTCTGCTTGTCCTATTTTTATTATAACTCTTATTTGTATTACTTACTGGAATGTAATAGATGCCCATCTTGGGGGTTTCATTGGCAGTAAGAAGCATTCCTAAAAATAAAACATAATGAAAAAGGTAAACACATAGCGGGGAAAAAAAGTATGCTATCTGTTTTACATTTTGAAATGCCTGAGGTGCTCAGTACATGGTGTGCAGAAGAGCCCAGCCTGGAAGACGGGAGCCCCAGGAGGCAGGTCCTGAGCTCTGGTCCCTGACTCTCCAGATGGAGGACCCCAAGCTATGAGAAAGGCCAACCTCCCCACCTGCGAAATGATCAGGTTGTACTGGAGTAAATGAGCAGGCGGTTTCCACCATAAGGTGCTTAGGTCTATGTAAAGTTTGCCATCATTTTTAGGGGGAAAATTTTAAGTTTCAGACACACAGATAAAATGTAGTTTCAGTGCACAATTTATTAGAATAATAACGAAGAAGTTAAGAAGAAAGGCTTCCTTCTGTTAATCAGGAATCAGAGACACAAGTTAAAGCATTTCCCACAAAATGTCACAGCAAATTCCTAACTTTTGCATTAAACTTAAATGACTACGGGGAATGCTATGCGGAACTACACCAGAAAGATCTACAGGGACCATAAGAGCCCTGACTATACCACAGTCACTCTCCCACAAGGGAATTTTAACAGACTGAACCAACAGGGTGAGTAATAATGTAGTCTCCTTGGGATCGGCATTATAAGAAAGCAAAACTGAAGGAAGGAATAACTCTCTGGCATTCAGTACAGGATCCTCTATAACCCCAGGAGCAACAGTAACCTATAAAACCATTATTCTTTGGTACTGAATAATTTAGTACCAAAACATTCAAATATCGCAGTCTTGTTCTCTTTTCTCTGCCACTTTTGCAACACACGCCTCCACCAAGTTTTCGGAAGCAGCTCCAATGTGGCAATATGCAGCTACCAAGACTCCCCACAGCTTCTCTCCAGATTGCTGTACCTCAAATAAAACTGAGGTCAGCAAACATTTAGCTAGTCCTTTGTAATATACATTATTTTAGTGAACATGTGACAACCCTCTAAAATAAGAAATATCTCTATTTTACTGATCAGAAAAATAAAGCTCAAAGGGACGGGTGAGAGAATGTTATGGCTAAAAGTCAAACTCAAAAGCTCTTGTTTTTAAAGACTGTTGCAGACCAACCAAACTATATTCACTTTAAAAATCTATTTGCAAAATACAATAAAGGAACCCACAGAGGGAAGACATTTAGATTATTAGATCACATAATCATAATTAAATACACCAAATGTTAAGGACAATGATTTGATTGTTTAAGGAAAATAATTTTTGTTGCCCTTCCTTTTGTTAATACGAAAGCTTCTAAAAGTGATGATATTTGATGCTGTTACAGAAATGAAATGCTGAGTGAATAAAGTCAATTACCCTTCAAGCAGAAAGCAGGGATTCAACGGTATCTCACCAAACCACGCCTTGCCTATAACTCAAAAGTATAAGCTAGCCTTGAACTGGGACCAACAGGTCACCAAAAATACACATACAGCCCCACGCCATAAAAACATCTAAAAGCACTTAATGAAACCTTAAAAAGGCAAGAATACATGTCTAAATTAAATCAAAACAAAAATCGGAGCTATTTTTCATAGCTTGTAGCCCATAAAATCTTTCCTCTCGGCACGTTCCCTGGCCCTGGGCACAGAATGTTCACTGAAGCCCACATGGGAGGAAATGTCATCTACTGATTGTGCCTCCCAGGCCTCCACTAACAGCACGGCCCAACTTTCTCCAAGAGCCTTCAGACATCATTAAGGAAGAAGTTTTGGGGATAGAAGCAACATGTTACAACCAAAAAGAAGGTTCCTGAAGACATCTCCTAAGCCTGTCTCCACGGGTTCAACCCTGAACACTGAACATTCAACAATGAACCACAACCACACCTACCAAAGAAACCATAGAAAGGGCTCTAATCTAATTATGTAAAAGAATTCAAACTGGACACAGCTCGACTGTTTCCTACAATGGAGTAGGACCTCACTTGGCCATATACGGCCAATGACACAAGCTGATCTGCTACCATACTAAAGTGGGGAGGATAGGGCCGAAAGCAATTGTAAATGAGAAAAATAAACAACCTCACAAAGCTTAACGCGTATTAGAAGTTTCTAATAAGTAGAAACAGAAAACTCAAACCAGTGAAACAAAGACTTAGTTCAGCAGCAATACAGGCAAGAGAAGCACAGAGTGTGAGCACTGCGCCAGGTCCTTTACAGCCTCAGAAAGTTAACTCATTTGCTCAAGGTCACCACACAGCTAGGAAGAGAGTAGCTGACAGTGTATTGACTCCAAAGCCCATGTAACATGGGACACTAAGACTCCAATAACTAAGATAAAATTAGAAGACTTCTTTCACGATCAAATAATAAACCACTAAAAAGGGTCAGTATAAATACCATATAGCAACATTAAAAACGATTTTATATAATGTCAAACTTAAAAGCAAAAGACAATCATATGTATAGCATGAGGACAATTTAAAACATATGAATGCAGGATTAATACAGTAAGAATTTCTCCAATAAAAATAGTAATAGTTCTTGTAAAGAGATAGATTGTGGCCTTGTAGAAGGTTTTGTCCTTTAAATGTCCTTTAAGATTGGTGTTTTTATTGTTTCCACAATAAAAATATAAATTTTTAAAGAGAAAAGATAGCACCTAGAGTCTAAAGAACATGCCTCCAATATAAAACAGTACCGTACAATGTACAGTATATAGTGTGCTGTATAGTATAATAATACAGTGAGAGAATTTGATAAAATAGTACCTTCCCCAGAAACATGCACCTATCAATACTCATCTCCATGTGCTTCAGGGGCTAAAGGACTCACTGAAGCCCACAACACAAAATCAGTGCTCTGCAGCAATGCTACTAAAAGTGTGCTCCCAGGGCCAGTCTGCAAAGCCAGGCCAGGAAGTAAGTGCAAAAATTGAAAGGAAGCATTTTAGAAACCTGTATAGCAATTCGACACTGCAGTGACATCCAAATATGTGATCATTTTCCTAGTAATTCATTTTTATTGTATTTCACAAAAGCATCAATCTGCAATGGATCAGAAATTTTAAAACAAAGAAAAAAACAAAACAAAAACCTGGTCCTTCACCAGACACATTTGAGAAGCACTGCATTAAAACATACAGCATCAGTCATTGCCTTGAACAGCTAAGGAGACAGGCTGTGTGCACAGAACTGTGCCAGAGGGGACTGGCAGGGATGCCCCTGCTCTATGTTGAACTTCTGAGAGAAGTATGGGGCATGTGAGCTTACTATGTGAGGCACCAAGGACATTCAGATGACTCCAATAGTTGTTTTCCGTGTATCTGGAGGATACTGACAGAGAAGAAAAGGATGCTTCACACTGAACAGCACAGGCAATCTCCAACAGCCGACAAGGTAGGTGAGAAAGCTGAGGCTGGATAACTGCCCTCATTAAGCCTGAATTAGGTCTTTCTCAAGCCCAAAGCCCACCTTCTTTTCTTTCTATCAATGGTTCTGAAACCACTAATCCTGATTCCATGTGTTTGGAGTGGGACTCAGACATACGTAAGCTTTACAAGCTCTCTGTGCCGTGACTCTGATGCACACCAGTCATAGAGTCATGCCGCCTCTGCAGGTGCCCCGACCTGCACGGAACAGCTGCTCGATGTACAGACACTATACAGGCAGCTGGATGAGCAACGGGAGCAGGGCCAGGAAATAAGCCAGAAAGGCAGGACCATTTCTCAATATTCTGAGCAGTCTTAGTATTAGAAAAACATTACAAAACAAAAATCATGATTAAGGCCGGGCGCGGTGGCTCACGCCTGTAATCCTAGCACTCTGGGAGGCCGAGGCGGGCAGATCATCTGAGCTCAGGAGTTCGAGACCACCCTGAGCAAGAGCGAGACCCCATCTCTACTAAAAATAGGAAGAAATTGACCAAAGAACTAAAAACAGAAAAAAATTAGCCGGGTACAGTGGCGCATGCCTGTAATCCCAGCAACCTGGGAGGCTGAGGCAGGAGGATCGCTTGAGCCCAGGAGTTTGAGGTTGCTGTGAGCCAGGCTGATGCCACAGCACTTGCCCCAGGCAAGAGAGTGAGACTCTGTCTCAAAAAAAAAAAATCACGATTAGACTTTAATTACTCCAAAATGAGTAAGTGAGAAGAAAAAGAAAGTAGAAGGTTTCAGCTTTTTAAAAATATGATTAATCTCATAATGATTAAGCACAAAACATAAAGAAGAGAGTTGAAGGAAAAAGGTGTGGGAAAGCGAGGAAAAGAGCACATGAACGCACCACAGATCCCAGCCACGAAGAAGCGGCGAGATACTGGTCTTACTGTGCTTGTGATCTTACGACATAAATTATTTGGCTATCTTTTGTATGTTTGATTAACCTCTTCTAAGTTATTTGACAGTAACAGTCATTCCTCTGTCCAAGACATCGCTCTTAAAATTGTTATTTTTCAGAAAACTGTACTTTGTAATGAAGACAACACCTTAACAAAGTGATCGACTTCATCCTCACCAATACTAGGATGATCTGACGTGACGAGATCTGAGAACCCAGCAGCTGACACATTATTCTTGTCTGAAATATTTAACCTAAACCAAATTAAGACTTTAGAGTTAACTTGTATTTTAGGAAAAATACAACATGGAGGAACAAGTTAAACACCACGATGAAAAACAATCACATAGATCCAGGATGGGGGACGTTCTACAAGACTACTGGCCTGACCTTAGAAAAGTCAATGTTGTGGAGAAGGGAAAAAAAAGATGGGGGAACTAACTTTGGATTGAAGGAAACTAAAGATATACAACAGTTAAATATAACAGCCTTAATTATATCCTCATTCAAAAAAACAGGCTAAGAAAAGGCCTTTGGGGGACTATTGGGGAAATCTGAAAATGGATGGGATACAAAATAATATTAGGAAAAGGCTGCAATTTTTATTAGGTGTGATAAGGGTCTGTGGTTAAGAGAAGAATGTCTTTCTTCTTACAAGTGCTACACTGGGTGCAGAAGTGCTACCACGTCCATAGCTGGCTTTCAAGTGATTCTACAAAGAAACCGAAACAACCATGCATGTGTAAAGATAAATAAAGCAAATGTGGCTAAAGATTAAAAAACA